GAGGGGAGTTACCTCATTGTTGTTTTTCCTTTCTGGGTGTCCTACTTCGGTGACGTGGGGAATGGCGCTTCTCACGCTTCCTCAACGTCTTACTCCCCGTGCGTGTAGGCTCGCCACCTCGATTCATCTCTGCGTCCAGTTCCGCCAATGTCTTACCTTCCCCTCTGCTGTTGAAGAATAGTCTTCTTGCTATCCACAGTTGTCCACATTGCTTTTTTCCTCTCCCAATTTGTTGGATTTGAACGCAACAATAGCACCTCGCGCACGCAGCCTCTGCCCCATTTATTGATTACAAGGGCAGCACTCCCGAGGCGATCTCATCAATGCTCGCATTTAAGGTCTTGTGCCGATAAGTTCATGTGCCCCAGCCATTCCATGAACCACTGATATTCGTCGTTCCAGTTCATTCCTTAATTGGGGTAAGGGCAGATTCGTTAATCTTAGCGGCTAAGGATTCGTCAATCTAATCGGCCATATTTCAAGGCCTTGCGCCGATAATTTCATGAACCACCGATATTCGGCGTTCCAGTTCATTCCTTAACTGGGGCAAGGGCAGATTTGTTAATCTTAGCGGCTAAAGATTCGTTAATCTAATTTTCAAGGCCTTGTGCCGATAAGTTCATGTGCCTCAGTCAATTCATAAACCATCGATATTCAGCGTTCTAGTTCATTCCTTAACTGGGGCAAGGGCAGATTCGTTAACCTTAGCGGCTAAGGATTCGTCAATCTAATCGGCCATATTTCATGGCCTTGCGCCGATAATTTCATGTGCCTCAGCCAATTCATGAACCACCGATATTCGGCGTTCCATTTCATTCATTAGCGGGGGCAAAGGCTTATTCATTAATTTATTTGGCTAAATTGAAAAGATACGCAGCTATCTAATCGGCATCTATTTAATCAGATGTTTAATTTACTCATGATCTTACATCCTACTAGGTTGTTAACTAGCACATGCAACCGACAGAAAACCAAAGGAAATTTTCATTCATAAATTGATTACAGAGTAGTCATTTTACACATGAAAATTACCCTATATTTAACTTCTAACCAAAGTAAATAACCAAAAATCTACTAAACAAAAATCTACTAACCAAAAATCTACAAAAAAACTATGCATGGAAGATGCTAACAAAAATCAAAAAGTCACCCTAGTCAATCTTCAGGGTCAGACTCCAGCGGCTCAACGTCCACCTGCTTGTATGGAATCGGTTGCGCTAATGTCACATTAGTGGCAGTGAGGGCTTTGAGCCAGCCGTGTTTGAAGCCTCGATTCTCGAATTTAGGTTCTTCCTCCACATAGTTCTCCAAGGCGGTGTCCTTTCCAGCTTGGAATGCTTTGGAAATCTTGGAGTCGGCTATTTCCTTTGCCTTCTTCGACTATTCCAAATCGCCTTTCAGTTTGGCAATCACCTCCTTGGCTAACTTGAGCGCGTCTTCGCTCGCGTTTGTCCTTTCTTCGGTGGCCAACCTAAGCTGGTCAGAACACTTCGCTTTTTCTGGCTCGGCGTCGGCTCTTGCACGCTCCTCCGCCGCTCTCGCCGGCTCAGACTCGGCCCTTTGAGAGGCCTCCACGGCCTTGCTGTTCTCATTTTCAACTTCAGTTTTCAAAATGCCGATTTGTTGAATATCATCATGTTGACGGCGGCCGATCTCGGCTATCTTGCCCGCCGTCTACAAAACAAGAAGTTACAGTTTAACAAAAAAAATATAAAAAATATATAGGCTGAAGATTGCAGATAAGGCTCAAGTCACGTACCAATATGGCCGATTGAGCGGCTAAAGCTGTTGACATCAAATCTAGCTCCGCCCAAATAGTCGCTCTGTCAACCGGTTGGGAAATTGAGGCGGCCATGCTCAAGGCCACAGTCGGATCCCTCAGAGTCTAGGCATTGGACGCAATCGGCACGTTCTTTATCCTTGGTTGGAAGATGAACGGCACAACCGAGTCCAACTCCTCCTATCGCGGCTGTTTATTGGTAAGTATTTCCTCAGAGTCGGTTTCGCGTTCGGCGGGACGCTTTTCCCTCCTCTGCGCGGCCTCCTGATCTAATTGTTCGCTTATTTGCTCCGTCTCGGCTGTTTCAACCTGAACCGTTTCAACTTGCTCCGTCTCAGTATCCGGCGAAGAAGACTCTGTCACGGCAACAGGGGGAGGTTCAAATCGGTTGGTCTCGGCCCTCCTTTAGGCAGCCATCCGTTCGGCATTTTTCCTCCTGGCCAGCTGCGTGAGCGACTCCCCAGCCATGTTCTCAGGGTGCGCGCCGGGAAGGTCCCCTAAGTCGGTAAAAATATCTTTTTGTTGGGGACGTCCCCTCGGCCTAAAGTGGATGGAGGGTTGGATTGATTAAGGCCGGCTTCTTCAAAAGCCAAGTTCAGAGCCTTATCAACTTCTTCGGCTTCCAAAGTGGATTGATTCGGCTGTTTGGTGACTTCTTTGGCTACTTGTTCTTCTGCCTGCTCTGAATTAGAAGCTTTAAAACCAATCTGCTTGAGGTTTTTGAAGTTGGGGAAGATAAGAGCCGTGAGCTGCTGCTCGCCCCTTGGAATCGGAATGTTTTCTGCGGCCAAAAAGGGTTCGTAAGTCGGCTCGTATTTGAGAAGTATATGGGCCGCCCTCCCTTGCTTCTGGAGGTTTGGATGGCCAAAGAACTGGAGTGTGGTTTTGATTTCTGCAAGCACAGCGTCGTCGGCTGAAACCAGAATTTTCTTCAAATCGTTGTCTGCATAAATAAAACGATAAGCGCGTGGAAGGAAAGCCGAGTAAATATATAGCAAATTCATGTAAGAAACTATACAGCCACCTGGTTCGCCTTTTCATCTAGGCGATCTTCGCCCTCGCCGAATTCCCAGTTGCCTCGGATAACCACCATGACATCGTCAACTTGCTTGCCAGAGTTGGCAAGCATAGTCACCAAATGATGGTCGGTATCCTTAGCCCTGAGAAAGTAGTGCCCTGCCGGCCAGAAGATTTGGCCAAGGCATAGCAATGCCGAATGGCAGGGATACCAAGATTGATCCTAAGGTGTCGGTTCAACTCTACAATTCCCATTATGATTGGGTAAAAATTAACATTGGGTTGGGAAGGGATTAGACCTCAGTGGCGAAGGACAGCCCTTAAAAATGGGTGAAGGGGGAAACGGACTCCGCCCTCAGCAATTGATAGGAGAGGAAAGATGATTGTACTCTCATCAATCCTCACCATATCAAGTGTGCTCTCTGCCACAAGTGACAGGTGGATGTCATGAGGAATGGCAAAATGGCGTCGAAAACCAGAAACTCGATTCGTAGAAAGAAGGGCTTTCAAATGTTTGGCCATCCTAGCCAGTTTAGGGAGTATGCTAAACTAAAAACAAACGAGGAAATGGGATTCGAAATGAGGGAGAAAAGAACTTACAAGAAGCGGAGAAGACAATGAGAAACGGGAGGAAGTTGCAGAGGTCGCGAAATGTAGGTGTTATACTGAATGGCGAATCAGAAACTTTGAATATTCAAAAAACATACATTCGAAGGGACAAAGTTTTAAATCGCATTAAATGAAGGAAGCGTACGAAAGGGCGGGAAATTGTAATGATGACCAAAAAGCGTATGTATTCTGACACTTACGTAGGCATGCACCTAGGCCCAAGGTTTGCGCCTTGTAGTATTCCAGGCCAGGTGACTTCGATAAGGCGCGCGCAAGTCCCGTCCAGGCGTTGCGCCTTGTAGTGTTCTAGGCCAGGCGACTGTGATAAGGTGCCTGACTAGCCCAAGACTTGTGTCTTGAGGGCTTTTTTTTATTGTTTTTTTAATTGGGTTTGTTTAAAATTTAACCATTGATTTAATATGGTGTAGTTATAGAAAATCTCTACTCTTGTTACAGATGCAAATACATTGGGCATTCAACCCCAAATCAATGATAGAAGGAAAATTAGCCCTAATTCCTAATGTCCAAAAAATACTAAATGTTTAACATTTTATTTTGTTTATGTTAAACCCTAAATTATTTACTTATATTAAATTATATATTTTTTTTCGTACAAAGTGTGCCTCACTTCAGTGAAGCTTGCATCTCGCCTTGCGCCTTGAGCCTAGGCCATAGAAGATCTTGGCGTCTTGGTGTGCCTATCGCCTTTAATAACATTGGTAGCCTCACATACCTACTGTGAATTTAAACAACCTGCATATAACTAACTTGAGATAAGATAAGGTTTTTCCAATAACCACTACTGCCACCTCCACCACCTCCACCGCATCACCACCACCACCACTATCGCCACCAGCACTCCACGACCACCACCGCTGCCATTGCTGTCACCCCTCCACCTCCACCGCCATCGCCGACGCCTAGACCTCTATTAGCACTCCACCTCCACCATCTATTGGGGAAAAATTTCAATGAAGTAAATGGGTTGGTCGGGTTTATTTGTCCAACATGTATCCAATTTAGTCCAACCCTTTTAAACCTGTTTATTCAATGGGTGGATGTGGGTTGGGTTTTAAATTCATAACCCGTTTGGCCTGCCCAAAATCGCCAATTTGCCACCTCTAGAGTTAGGTACCGAACAAAGGTCTCTCTTTTTGGACACTGGGGTAGCCAACTGCTATATTAGGCAGAATTTGTTGACAGTTGCATGAATAAAATGACCCTCTGGTTGAGAAACATTAGTCTTGGTCCTCATGGACAACAAAATTTCTGAAAATTAAATATGTATATATATATGTCATTAGACCTACCCTTCTAAGCATTTAGGACAACCTTCTAAGCATATAGAACAATGCTTTGCTAGCGCGTGTGCTCTGAATTTTTGCAAGGTTATACTTTTTAACTATCAGGAATCCTGGTGTATATACTAATACAAAAGCAACTTGACCGCACAGCAGTCTATTTCCCAAACACAAATCTCAATATGCTCGGTAGTGTTTCAATCTTCTACTCCTATGATGCTTTCTTCTTCTGTAACAATTATTATTTATTAGATAATTTTGAATTATTTTTTTAATTTTTTTTACTGCTGTAGGTCAACTAATCACTGGCGGTTGGGACAAAAAGATAATGTCATGGGATACGCGCTCAACAAACACTCTTGGATGCTTGAACACTGCAGGTGCAGATGTGGAATCTATGGCGGTCTCTGGGTTTCATTTGATGGTCGCTGTTGGGTCATCCGTAAACATATATGACTTGCGTAACTTTAACAAATCAGTTTATGTGAAGGAATTATGTCTGGGCATTCAAATAAGATGTGTCCGGCCAATTCTTAATTGTGAAGGTAGTATGACAGCATTGTCATCATCTTGGTTGTGATTTGCATTTCTAACACCATTTCGTTGTTATTTTTCTTGGAGCTGGTCTCGCACAACAGCATTGACAATTTTATTTGATTGGTTACGATGTCAGAGTTGTTATAAATCGTTGTATATGTTTGCCATGTAAAAAATTATTGCAACTTTTGAGCAACAGTTAACCCAAGAGAATTGGGTACTTCCAGTTCCAAGTATTTAGTTCCTTGTATTTATTCTGTCAATTTTCAAGATAGGGTATCTGTTCATGCAGGATTTGTGGCTGGATCAATTGATGGACGGATAGCGTTGGAGTATCTTAATTCAAGTGACACAGGGTCAGTTCTGGTTTCTGGTTCATAGATTTGTTGGCTGGAGCTTGGAACATGGTTCTAGTCGTAATTGTTAAAAAACTTAAGTTTCTTTTTTATGATTAAGCAATAAACAATACTCCCTCGGTCCCAAAATATTAGTCCCTTATTTCATTTTTCATTATCCCAAAATATTAGTTCATTTTCAAAAATCAAGGACTAAAATGATGTGAATTTCCTATTTTGCCCTTCTTTTAAATTGATTAATAACACAAAAAATACAATTATGACAATTGATATTCCCAAAAAAATGTACTATCAAAGGGTAATTTTGGAAAATCAATATTTTTAAAGTACAATAATTGTACTACCAAAAAAAAAATTGGATTCCCCAAAAGGGACTGTTATTTTGAGACGGAGGAAGTAATAAAAATTTATGAAAGTACTTTTAAAATAGAGCCCAATAATAACATTTTGTACATGTTAAGGTTATTAAAGTAAATTTGAGTAACTTACAATTGCTAACTACAAGGGTTCATGCTAGATTTTGTGTGCCAAATTAGACAATATACATATCCCACTGCGTTAAGGTTATTCCATATATGATATATCCAACTTGAACACATTGGTATGAAGCTGGATGAAATTAGATTAAAAAAAAAACTCCCTCAGTCCCAAAATATTAGTCCCTTATTTCATTTTTCATTGTCCCAAAATATTAGTTCATTTTCAAAAATCAAGGACTAAAATGATGTGAATTTCCTATTTTGCCCTTCTTTTAAATTGATTAATAAAACAAAAAATACAATTATGACAATTGATATTCCCAAAAAAATGTACTATCAAAGGGTAATTTTGGAAAATCAATATTTTTAAAGTACAATAATTGTACTACCAAAAAAAAAATTGGATTCCCCAAAAGGGACTGTTATTTTGAGACGGAGGAAGTAATAAAAATTTATGAAAGTACTTTTAAAATAGAGCCCAATAATAACATTTTGTACATGTTAAGGTTATTAAAGTAAATTTGAGTAACTTACAATTGCTAACTACAAGGGTTCATGCTAGATTTTGTGTGCCAAATTAGACAATATACATATCCCACTGTGTTAAGGTTATTCCATATATGATATATCCAACTTGAACACATTGGTATGAAGCTGGATGAAATTAGATTAAAAAAAAAAAGTTGTGATCTTTCTACAGGGGGTCAAAGCCAAACCTTTTAAAAGTTCTAAGTGTCCTTTCTTCCTGTTTCTTCTCATTCGCTCTCAGAGCGTAGTTTTGGTAGTAGTGATCATATGTGAAACCCAGTTGTTTTTGCAACTTCACTACTGATATCTGACATAATATGATTGGATTACTTTGTTTTGGTTGGGATCACAATTGGCATATGTTTTGTTCTCAAGAGTTGAGAGTTAATAATTAAATTTCATTGAAGCTTCTTAGCTCAAGATAGGATTCGTATTTCCAGCATTTCTTTCCGTATCAGGTTTCCTAACAACTTGCTGTAATGCAACATATCAAATATAGTTCGTGATTGATTTTGCAGATATGTTTTTTGGTGTCATCCAAAGTCAAAAGATGGAAGGCATCAAGTTGTAGCAGTGAATGACATTGCATTTAATCCATTGTATGTCTTCAGTCATTGACAGCTGAATATCATAAATACGAGAAAACTTAAGATTGAATAGTTTTTATTTATTATTATTATATTTTTTTGATAGTGTCTCCGGTGCTTTTGTCACTGGCAACAATGAGGGTTATGTTACCTCATGGGATGCTCAAAGCAAGAAGAGACTACTACAGGTATTTTCATTTCAGGCTAATATGATTTTGCACCTGCTGTTATCACATTTACTGGAATGCTTGATATTTCAATCTGTTGACCCAAGGGTAAATTAGTTGCAATGAACTATGCTTTTCAAGTGAAGATTCTTAAGCCCCTAAATGCAAACTTAGTGCATGATAGTTGATACAACCAAATTCAATTTGGAGACTCAAACCAGAATGTAAGCTTTAGTAATCTTGCGCTCTTATTGTCCAATGCCAGTGGACAGTGGTACATAAATTTATTTATTACACCTTTTATTCCACATGCTAATGTTTGGCAGAAAACCCTAAATGGTTGTTTTTTGGTTCATTTACATGTTTGGCAGTACAATATTTAGATTTTTATCTTGCTTGTCTTTCATTGTTTTTGGTTCTTGCTGTACTTTTCATCAAGTTTAACAACATCATGCTAACGATTGGTATGAAGATGTAATGTTTAATGAAATCTCTCCTATCTGCTTTTGTACTAATTTTTTCAAAGAAAAGTGCACATCATGTTCTTTACCCTAACAGATGAACATCTTTTTTTCTCTCTTTCTTTTTTCGTTAATTTTTTTCTTCTTTCAATTAATTGCTTTGTGTTTTATATTTCTTGTGATAGACTAACCCTTGTTAGTTTCAGTTTCCAAGATACTCCAATAGTGTGTCATCCTTATCATATAACCATGGGGGGCAACTTTTGGCCGTTGCATCAAGCCACACATACACAGAAGCAAATGAAATGTTAGTGAATTCTCTCTCAGCTCTTGCTATTTTTATTTTTATTAATTATGCATTTTTAATGTGAAAAGTTTTGTAATTATAATCATTGTCCTATTGTTTATATTGGTAAGTAATTGTCATAGGCCGCGTTTGGTACAACTTATGGGGTTGCTTATATATGTATACATATATTTATTCATTTTGGAATTTTGTGCCGTGGTGTTTGGTGTATCTTCAGCTTATAACTTCCGAGGTAGAAATCATTTATATAAGTTGATAATTGGGAAGTTGGGGAAGAGTGCTTTTAACTTTTGCTTTATGATTTTCAACTTTCAACTTTTAAGAAACTACACCAAACAAGCACCTAGTACTTGATTCCTTGATGAAGTGTACTAGACATGTCATTGGGAATTGTCACTTGCTAGCCTAATGAATAGGGCACCTAGACTTTTGAGAGACATGCTAAGCTGAAGATACAACATGGCATCTCAACATCCCTCTTAGGACCATGCCACAACATGAAATTTGAGAGACATGTTAAGGCACTTTCTTGATTGTCTATTGGGAATGAAGTACTAAGTAACACCATGGGACTGTTCAGGCCAAGGCAAGCTCTAGGATGCACTACTAGTGCAAATTCTTGGCACTATAGGATTTTGGGGTTTACGAGGATTGTTGGTTAGAGGTGAGGGTTTGCTGAAGCATTTCACCTTCACCTCCTCGCAAGTTTCTTGCCTTAGCTAGTCACAGAGAGAGAGAGAGAGAGAGAGAGAGAGAGAGAGAGTTGTGCCCAGGGCTAGAAACAAACACCAAACAAGCAAAAAAAACACAAGAAGTTTTACATGGTCCGACAATTCGCCTACGTCCATGACAACGGATTTCACTAAACCAAGGAAAATTACAAGACTGATTCCTCACTCTCAACCTCACCTCTCTCACTTATTCTTTGCTAACACTTGAATGCTTTACACTTGCTTGCCTTTTGCCCCTTCCTTGCATCCCTATTTGTACACACTATTTTGGGGACATTTTGGGAACTTTGCCAGGGAACTTGCTTGAAAGTTGTTGCTGCAGTGCAACATTTAGCTTCAACTTGCAAGCTTCTAGAATTACAACTTGCCAACTTGCAAGGTTTTCTAGAATTTGAGCCAACTGAATGAGTCAACTCAATACAACAAATCTTCACCTTGGTGAGGATTCTCCATCCAACTTAGTGACCACTGCTTTGTACCTGAAGGTACTTAGTTTCGAGAGATGTTGATCAAGTCCAAGCAGTGTTGGAACTTGATCCTAGATACTACCTTAGTGAGCATATTTGTAGTACCAATCTTCTAAAGCAGAATATCCCCTTCATTCATTATTTCTCGGACAAAATAGAAATGGACATCAATGTGTTTGGTGCGAGAATGATGAACCTGGTTCTTTACCAAACAAACTGTCACAGTAGACCTCCATGTGCTCCTGACCAATCCCTAGGTCCTCAATCAGTCTATGTAGCCAAATAGCCTTCTTAAAGGCTTTTGTTACTGCCATATACGCTACCTCTGTAGTAGGCAAAGCCACCGTTGATTGTAGCGTTGACCTCCAACTCACTGGCACTTTAGCAAGAGTAAACAAATCTTGTCTCTTTCATTCTCTGTTCTAACAAACCTGTTTGGTGTGCCTCAAATAGGTAGCACAAGGTTGAACTGGATCTATAGGCCGAGTTTTATAGCCAGTTTGTTTGCTTTTGTCGAACACATGAGTTTAGAATCTTTGAGGCTTCAAGCAATTGATACTTGCCAGATAATAAATTTGCGGTTCTTCGTCTCCAATCTACAAGTGCCAAGAGATTGAGTTGAATGGTGTGATCAACAAACTTTTTTGCCGCGGTTGATTGGTAACTTATTTTGGCATGCGAGAGCTCCGTTACTGGACTAATCAAGAAAGTAGAGTTGAGCAACGATTCATTGAAGATGATTGTGTTTGTTTAGGGAAAATCTAACTTAGGGAATGATTAGGCAATCATTCCCTTCTACATTTATAATAGGTAACTTACAATGGAAGCCTTGGAAGCACAAATAAGGAAATAACAAAATAAGGAAATAACAGCTAAGGGAATAATCAATACACAATAACCAAAGATATTATAATTCTGACACTCCTCAAGCTGGTGCGAAGATGTCTTTCATGCCCAGCTTGCCAAGCACATCATAGAATGGTTTGCTTCTAATTCCCTTGGTTAGAATGTCTGCCAGTTGTTCAGCTGACTTCACAATAGGAGTACATGTAGGGTGTGTTTGATTGGACGGACTGGAAAAGGGGGGATTAGAATCCATCGGACTTGAATCCTGGGACTGTGAATCCCCCGGACTATTTGGTCGGATTGGATATGTATCCTGTGTTTGTTTTTTCATGGGATTAGATGTCTGGATAGGACTATTTTCAGTGAATCCAACGTTTGGTTGGACGGACTGGATAGGATAAATGAACAAAAGACTATTTTACCCTTTTTCAATTGTTTACTATGTAATAGCAATATTAAACATATCTTTAATATTTTAATTATTTTTAGTAAACATTAAACATACTAATGGTTAAATTTTGTTTAAAGATATTTAAACATACTAATATTGATAAAAAAATTTAACTGGTATAGATTATTTTTATTTAAACAAATAAAAATTTATTGTTGAAATTAAACATACTAATGGTTAAATGTTTAAATTTTTATTTAAACAATTAACATTGAAATTATTTTGATGTACAGATTATGTTTAAACAATTAACAATTAACGATTAAATAAATGTTGATGTATAGATTATGTTTAAACAATTAACAAATGTTGATGTAATTAACAATTAACAAATGTAGATGTAATCAAATGTTGACGTATTAAAACATAATTTAATAGATGTTAAATAAATATACATGTTGATGTACAGATGTTGAAATAATTTAATAAACATGTTGATGTACAAATGTTTAAATGTTTAAATAAAACATAATTTAAATAAATGAAATTATTTATTGTTGAAATTAAACATTTAATTGTTTAAATAAAACATCTATTAAAACATCTATTAAATTTAAACAATGAAATTAAATAAAACATAAACAAAATTTTAAAATAAAACATCAATAAAATATCTATAAAAAATTATCGGGACAGTTTACAGAGTCTTGTCGGACCCTTATAGAAACTAACCGGAATCTATGTCGGGACAGTTTATAGAGTCTTGTCGGACCCATAAAGGAGCTAACCGGAATCAATGTCGGGACAGTTTACAGAGTCTTGTCGGACCCTTATAGAAACTAACCGGAATCTATGTCGGGACAGTTTATAGAGTCTTGTCGGACCCATAAAGGAGCTAACCGGAATCAATGTCGGGACAGTTTACAGAGTCTTGTCGGACCCTTGTAAAAGTTGCACCCTCAAAAGGTGTGCCCAATTTTTCAAAAAGGCGTGCCATCAAAAGGCGTGCCCAATCCATAAAAAGGCGTGCCATCAAAAGGCGTGCCCAATCCATAAAAAGGCGTGCCATCAAAAGGCGTGCCCAATCCATAAAAAGGCGTGCCATCAAAAGGCGTGCCCAATCCATAAAAAGGCGTGCCATCAAAAGGCGTGCCCAATCCATAAAAAGGCGTGCCATCAAAAGGCGTGCCCAATCCATAAAAAGGCGTGCCATCAAAAGGCGTGCCCAATCCATAAAAAGGCGTGCCATCAAAAGGCGTGCCCAATCCATAAAAAGGCGTGCCATCAAAAGGCGTGCCCAATCCATAAAAAGGCGTGCCATCAAAAGGCGTGCCCAATCCATAAAAAGGCGTGCCATCAAAAGGCGTGCCCAATCCATAAAAAGGCGTGCCATCAAAAGGCGTGCCCAATCCATAAAAAGGCGTGCCATCAAAAGGCGTGCCCAATCCATAAAAAGGCGTGCCATCAAAAGGCGTGCCCAATCCATAAAAAGGCGTGCCATCAAAAGGCGTGCCCAATCCATAAAAAGGCGTGCCATCAAAAGGCGTGCCCAATCCATAAAAAGGCGTGCCATCAAAAGGCGTGCCCAATCCATAAAAAGGCGTGCCATCAAAAGGCGTGCCCAATCCATAAAAAGGCGTGCCATCAAAAGGCGTGCCCAATCCATAAAAAGGCGTGCCATCAAAAGGCGTGCCCAATCCATAAAAAGGCGTGCCATCAAAAGGCGTGCCCAATCCATAAAAAGGCGTGCCATCAAAAGGCGTGCCCAATCCATAAAAAGGCGTGCCATCAAAAGGCGTGCCCAATCCATAAAAAGGCGTGCCATCAAAAGGCGTGCCCAATCTATCAAAAGGCGTGCCATCAAAAGGCGTGCCCAATCCATAAAAAGGCGTGCCATCAAAAGGCGTGCCTATCAAAAGGAGGGCTGAGAGGCGCATGATGCGCGTGTCTGCCTCGGCTATTTAACCAAGGTTGAGGCGGAGGCTGTGCAAACCAGTCTGAAACCGCCGAAAATCCTTTGAAAAAACTCTTCCGTTTCTGAGAAAGAGATTCTGGAACACTCTGTTGCCATTCTGTAACCAACACTTCTCTAACATTATCAGTCTGAAATTGCTATTTCGCTGAAACACTCAGCAACCCAAAAAACATGGCCTCTTCTTCCCGTTCAGCTACCCAGAATATGGCCTCTTCATTCCGTGGTCTACTCACTCTCTTTCCCGACCTCAACGAGTCAACAAGAGAGATAACTGGTGCGGTGGCCCGTGAACCTCAACAAAACATCTCTGGTTTTGCTCCGTTGAACTTTCCGATGCGGTCGGTGGAGCAAAAAATGGCGGTGCAAACTGATATTGAGGCCAATCAGTATACTTTGAAGTCATGTGTGGAAACCATGACTGCGGTCACAAACTTGTCGCACCGGCTGCAGAGCAGGACAAATGAGGTGCAGCAGTTAAATGCCCAACTGGCTCTGCTCCAGCGCATGTATAAGGATGCGCGAGCAGAGATAAGTGTGCTAAAGGCGGAAAACAAGGAGCTAAAGCGGAAGGCCACCATGATGTTCCGATT